AATATTTAGATGAAGTGTGAGGGATATTGTAATCCTAAGGTTATTTGATTTGCTTTTTACCCAATTATCTTGTTGCTTGAATTTTTAATTAAATTAGTTTTAGTTGAGTAGTTTTTAGTTTAATTAGAATTCAGATTTTAATTGTTTGAATAAAATTAAATTGTTCTAATTTTATTACTTAGTAAAATTTTAGATCAATTCTTTGTGGGATCAATACTCTGCTTGCTTATATACTATCTATTTGATATGTATACTTACGTAGTAGAATTTTAAATGACGCCAATTGACTTTCTAAATGTTCCATAAGAATTTAAGGTTAGCCAACCAAATGAAGAAGATACCTAGCCAACCAAAATCTCCTCTTTTCTGCTTTCAAGTGCTTCAATGCCATTCCCAATTTTACAATAGGCATTATTAATAGCTAAAGAAAAACTTACAATGACATTTAATTGTCTCTCTATTGCAACCTATTTTCCTACAAATATAAAAGAATTCTCCATTTCCATAGTTACCAGTAGCTTGCTCCAAATATTATTGCCCAAGGGATATCATTCATCAATAATTTATAATGAGAAATTGTAAAACAGCCAATCAATTAAAATATGATCCAAAGAAACATTCTTGATATCCCTACGGTAAAAGTCACAATCGAAGAGCATTGGCAAATGGGTAATCATGCAAGGTATGAAAAATAGATTATTTCTCTTATTGACATTGAACATAACTAGGGTCATTTGATATGTGGCGTTGGACTTGTTCCTTGTTGGTAAATAGGCACTGTTGCAAACATTGGTATAGGAAGATGCATATGCATTGTGGTCTTTTTTCAATGCTAGGCCATGTTCCCCTGGTGCTACATCATGAGTCTCCGTGATCTCCTGCATACAACTATAAGCCAATGAAACAAAAAATAATTTAGATGAAGAATGTGCCTAATACAGCTCATTTGTTTTATCAAAAAACACAAGTGGAATAGTCTTCAAAAGAATATTTCTCCTTTCATCAGTTAACAATGTATTGCGATGCTCAAAATCCCAATTTCCATTAGGAAAAGTAACATCACGAATCTTACTGTTATCATCAATAAGGTTACCCATCAATCAGGCTACCTTAATTAAAGGTCGTTCTCCTAGCTAGGTATTCGTCCAAAACTGTGTAACTCGACCATCTTTAATTGCCCATTTGATTTTTTTTTGAGAGGTTTGCCATAGTCTACTTATTGAAGTCCAAAGAGAAGAAGAACTAGCTTAATCAATACTATCTAGTATTAAGTGGGATCTTATGTTATATCTATCACGTAGAATCCTCACCCACAATGCATTTGGATTGGTTACAATCTTCCAACATATATTCAATAAGAAATCATCATTCATAGTCTTCAAACAACATATTCCCAAGCCACCTTCCTTTTTAGGCTTTCAAACCTCCTGCCACGATAAAAGATGAATTTTATGATTGTTTGACTCATCACCCCGCAGAAAATTTTTACAACATGCCTCAATTTTCTTGCAAATATTGACAGTTATCGAAATTGTTTTCATTATATAATAAGGTATGGTAGACAAAACAAATTTAATTAAAGTAAGTCTACTTGCAAACAAAAGTGTGGATGCACTCCAATTAGACAAATATTTATGGACTTTCACTTCCAGATAACGAAAAGAATTGATTCCCTTCCAACCATGGATTAGCAGCACCTTTAGATATTTCCCAAAAATCTTCTGAATAAGAAAAATTATGAGCATTGCATTGAGTTGTTGATAGCCTCTTTATAAACATTTCTAAAGCAATAAATGAGGACTTTTGTATACTCATTTTTCCTCCAAAACAAACATAGAAATCTTCCAATACTCCTTGCACCACCTTCATTTAAGATAGTAAGGCATTAGTAAATAGTACTAAATCATCAGCAAAAAACAAGTGAGTTGAAAAAGACCTTTCCTGCCTAGCTTGATGAATTTCCATGAGTCTTGATCAACTACATTGTTAATCCCATGTGCCAACTGGTCCATGCACAATACAAAAATGTATAAAGACAATAAGTCACCTTGTCTCACACCTCTAGAAGGTACAAATATATATGATAACATGCAATTCCAAAGTATTTGTGATTTGTTACAGTTCTAACTATTAAGCCAAATATTAATCAAAACAACAAGAATTTTAGCATTAATAAAAGTATCAGTTATAAACTCTCATCTAAAATGATCATATGCCTTTTCTATATCAATCTTAATTATCATCCACCATACTTTTCCCAGCTGCTTTCTGAAAGAGTGGACTACTTCTTGTGTTATAACTATATTATCCATAATTTGTCTTCTAGGGATAAAACTATATTGTGTCTCAGAAATAAAAGAGCTCATAAAGGATTTCAACCTATTAGTAATGACTTTCATGAGAATTTTAAAGACCACTAGTAAAAGACTAATTAGTCTGAATTGGGAGATATGTTCTGGATTTTTCACTTTTGGAATCAAAGTGATAATTGATCTACATAAATCATCCTCAATTGTCGCCCTCTCAATTACCTTCTTAACATAATCAACCACATTTTTACCCAACACATTCCCTAGGGAATGAAAAAATTAAGGTACCCTCTCACCAAACCTACTAACCCCAATTGCCATCTCTCCATCTTTTCTTCCTCTTCCTTTTCCTTTTTTTTTTCTGTTTCTTCTCTGGCCAAATCCTCCCTTCATTTTCCTCGTCGGCAATAAGTTTTTTTTCTCTCTTCTTTTCTTTCTCTTTTCTTCTTTTCTTTTCCCCTTTCCCTTATTTGTTGATAATTTTATCTTTTTCTCTTCCTTTTTTCTCACTTTCCTTTTACATGAATTGATAAATAAAAAAAAAAAGGAAGGGAGAGGAAGAAAAGATTAGTTTCGATAGTAGCATTTTTCGCTAACTGGTGGCTATATTTAAATTTTTTTTGAAAGAAAAAAGAGAAAAAAAGATAAAAAGATAGAGTTTTAGGAAAAAAAATAAATCGATTAAAAGACAAGAGAGAGCGATGATGACGATTAATGATGATCAATCACTGAAATTTAGATTTTAGAGATAGAAGGATTGAGCAACAATTGATTAGTCAGAAAAAGAGACAAAAGAAATTGAGGGGTAAAGAGAAGGTGATAAGAAAAAGATGATCGATATTTTAATGTAAAAATAAAAAACTTTTTAAAGTATATTGATTTGCAAAAGAATGTGCAGTGATGTCATTGTAATGTTATATTGCATTCATTTTTTCTGTTATCAAATATTGCAATGTAATTTTAACAATCACATTATAATAAATATTACTTACCATTTAGTAATTATAAAATAATTTATTGAAGTAAGATCTTTTTTATATAAAATATTTTACTAAAATATCTGATATTTTTTATTATTTAAATAAATTGTTGAAAATATTTTAAGTTGTTTAGATAATCTTGTAAAATTTTTTTTATCATAATATGATAAAAATATTAAAATTCATTAATTACGTAATACATAAAAAACAATTTTTTTCAACATTGAAAATATTATATATAAATAGTATTTAATTATTTTTATTTATTTATTTATTATCATATTGTTATATTAGTTAGTTTATTAATTTAATAAATCATAAATCAAAGATTAAAAGAAAGGAAAGGTTTTCACAAGTGAAAAACTTATTTCATATTATATATAAAATTTTTATTTAATTAATTTTAATTATTTTATATTATATTAAAGATTGTAATATTTTAATAAAAAGTATTTTTATGTGTAAAATATTTTACATACCTATAATTAATGAAATTACAAAAAACCTAATAAAATATAAATCACATGTAAAAAATTATCATTTTTACTTAAAATATGCGTAAACACTTAAAATAAATTTAATTTTTCTGTTCATCATCACAAATCTCATCATTCACGTTTACTTTCCCTCTCTCTCTCTCTCTCTCTTGCCTTCCTTCTCTCTGAGTCGTTGCTTTGCATCACTGAGTTTTTCTCTCGATTGAAACCCTAGGGTTTTGATCGATAATTTATTTATTTAATTATATCTTCTAAAATCGATTCGATTTTACTCTGTTGATCGGATCTTGAAAATCTAGAAATCAATCGAGATTCGATTGGATTTATTTTAGTTTTGTTGAACTTCGTTTAATAAAGCAGGAAAAATGCCGGCAGTTTACGGAGCCAGATTGACCACATTTGAGGATTCGGAGAAAGAGAGCGAATATGGATATGTTCGCAAGGTGAATTCTCGTCATTCTATCATTTCTTACGTTTCCAACCTCAATTTGAACGTTGGATTGGGATTAACTGGATATGTTTCGAGCATTTTTATGGGATGATCTGCTTTTTTAGAGTTCAATTTAGTGTAATTACTTTCATGTACTTGATTTTCAATGTTTTTACGTGCTTTGTCGTACTTGATCTGTTTGTTTTATTTTCTTTAAGTAGAGTTTGGGGTGAACTGGTTCGGTTATTTATTTTATTTTTGTGATTTCTGATCTACTTTTTCCGCCCCTAAATGCTAATTATAGTGATTTGAAATTTATGATCTGTTTTTCAAGGGTTAGTTTTGTTGAGTTTTTTTTTTTCCCTTTTGTGTGTGTTATATGCATGATCAGTCTTACATAATATTGAATTGATTTGGATTCCAATTTAGATGAGTGTCCGATGCTTTGTTTTATGTGTTTTTCTTATTCAAATTGAAACGTAGCTTAATAGTTTAAGTTGGGCTACATTTTCTCTCTTTCTTTTCTCAAAATTTTTGTTGTTACCTGAAGCTTTCACTGCCTTGTAATTTATTTCTTAATTTTCATTACTATTTATTTTGGTTTCCTGTGTAACTTTTCTCTTTTTTTTTTTGGTCCGAGGTTTGGTGATATTAAAAATAGGTTGCATTTTGGTTTTAAATTACTGTTTATTTTGTTAAACTGTTGCTGATTTTGATATAACAGTGGTAGCATATTGGTGATTTGTTTCATTGAATTGCTTTTGTTGCACAATTTGAGCTATATTGATGTACTTGATTTGGGTGTGAAGCCTGCGTCAGAATCAAAATTGTTGGGTAAATTTCATTGCATTGGGTATAATTGATGGCCGTATTTGCTGTTTTTTTTACAGTAATGCTGTCATAATTTGTCACTCTGCAGTTGATTGAAGAAACATGCTATTTGAATTCCATGAGAATACAAAATGAGAACGTAACTTTATTTTTTTTTTCTATTTATCATGTGGATATGTAACTAATTTCTTATTACAAGAAATTGCTAGATATTCATTTTTTCTTTTCCCAGAACAAGAGGGAAAAAGATTATGGTGCTTAATTATTATGTTCATAATTTTTTTCAATCAACTTGAATTGGCTTTTCTCATTGACCACTGACCTACAGAGTTTGCAAGTATAATGTATTATGTCTTATTTATTTTTTCTTGTTTCTCCACTTAAACTATAACATGCAGGTGTCTGGACCAGTGGTTGTTGCAGATGGAATGGCTGGTGCTGCCATGTATGAATTAGTTCGTGTTGGGCATGATAATCTGATTGGTGAAATTATTCGGTTGGAAGGAGACTCTGCGACAATCCAAGGTGTTTTATTAATACTAACATTAACTTTCAGCTAAACCTTCCCTTTTTTTCATGCTCTTTTATTTTTGGAAAGAAAGAATGTAAGAAAAAAGAAGAATTACCCGTGACTATTGTGTGGATCCTTGGCAGGAATGAGTTTCAAAATTGATAAGAAATTTTATTTATGTTCTTATTTCAGTTTATGAAGAAACGGCTGGCCTGACAGTGAATGATCCTGTTCTGCGGACACACAAGGTGATATTATTGTTTTTTTTGTTTTTTTAACTGCACTAAAGGTTACACTTAGAATTTCTTGAGAGTGAGTTGATTGTATACTCACTTATAATCATATGTTGATGTTGCAGCCTCTGTCAGTGGAGTTAGGACCAGGAATATTGGGAAATATTTTCGATGGCATTCAGGTTCAACCACACTTCATGTGCAGTTTAAATCCTTGTATTTTTATAGCTCATTCCATAGTGTATTTTGTTTTGAAAAGTTGCAAACCAACTTACCAGTTAGCAGCTAAGCCATTAATAATAGTATTGTTATTATCATGTACTCGGTGTTAATTGATCTCTGCTCTTCACTTTTGTTTCACTCTTATTTCAACATAGAGGCCTTTGAAAACTATTGCTAAAAGATCTGGTGATGTATATATCCCTCGTGGAGTCTCGGTCCCTGCTCTTGACAAAGATACTCTTTGGGATTTTCAGCCTAAAAAAATAGGTATGCAGCTATCAAAATGCAACTTAAATAGATATTGACTTGTGAGGTTGGTGTTCAATTCAATGCTTATTTCCTGCAGGTGAGGGGGACCTTCTAACTGGTGGAGACCTATATGCTGTAAGTTTAATGGCCTTTTGCTGTCTTTTATATTAGTTGTTCCTTCAGTAAGCAGAAGTAGAAGGCTCTGCCAAGGTACTAGTCACCTGAATAACCTTAGGTGTGAGATGCAAATGGTTCTCAATTGAACAACACGCTGATCCCAGTTTTAGAGATTTGTAATGGTTTTGAAAATATGCTAAATAATCAGGTTATGATTATGATTACAGATGAGAGGAGAATAATTCAATTAGCTATGGATTTTAAACACAAAGAAAATGAATTGGGTTTTTGTTTTTGGTTTCTAAAAAAGAAAAAAAAGAATGGGGGAGGGGGACAGAGTGTCTCACTGCAGTTTACTTTGACTGTGAGCTACGAAAAAGTCAGCATGTAGACAATTTTTTGTCCCTACGAATGAAAAGGAGGCCATCATTTTATAAATTATTTTTTTTTGGTTTTCTTTATTGAGGGGGAGACAGTCAAAGCATAAATAAATAAAAATAATAAAGAAAACATATGTGATTTCAATGCTTTGCATCTTTTAAGGAAAATGTATACACCAGTTTTTTTAGAAAAATAGGATGATACTTAGATCACTTCATTTATTGCTTTTAACTCTTCTAAAGTCTTTATATTAACACTTTCAAATTCAAATGCAGACTGTCTTTGAAAACAGTTTGATTCAACACCATGTTGCCCTTCCACCTGATGCAATGGGAAAAATCACTTACATTGCCCCCCCCGGTCAATATTCATTGAAGGTCTGCCTGTTAACTTTTATATCATGCCATGTTATATTGTGTTGCAGAACTTTCTGTTTGCTATAATTGACCCTTTACTTCATGGCAGGATACTGTGCTAGAGCTTGAGTTTCAAGGTGTCAAAAAGCAATTAACCATGCTACAGGTTTTCTATTCTTTTCCATGTCATTACATTTTTCACTATAGTTGACAATGGGTGGGTTGGGTTCGGGTTCAGTTTGTTGATGTTTGAGTCAATTTTGGGTTTGGTGGGGCTGGGTTATGGGTGGGGTCTGGTCATCCCTTGTACCAATAGGTAGTACTGTGCCAGGTTGATTTGTGCCATTTGGCTTTTGGCCGTTGACCTTTTATAGTCATTTTAGGTTTGGTTTTGGGCAGGTCATTTAAGTTGGGTCAATATTTTGCCTTATGTACTGATTAACTACTATTCACTTGTTTTTAATGATTTCAAAATTTTAATTTGGATTGTGCTACACCCAGACTTGGCCTGTACGTACCCCAAGACCTGTTGCAACAAAGCTTGCTGCAGATACCCCTCTGCTTACTGGGCAGGTAAGTCTTATTGTTGGTTGTTTTCATTGACTCTTCTTAGAAGGACGTAATTTGCTGATGGCTTTGGTTTCAATCAGCGTGTTCTTGATGCCCTTTTCCCCTCGGTTCTCGGTGGAACTTGTGCTATTCCTGGTGCATTTGGCTGTGGTAAAACTGTGATTAGTCAAGCACTTTCTAAGGTAAATTTTTATGTATATTCGTATTGAGCTTTCTTTAATTTCTTATAATAATGGGGTTTTAATTAAGTTTTTTTTTATGATCATGTGCAGTACTCTAATTCTGATGCTGTTGTCTATGTTGGTTGTGGGGAACGAGGAAATGAAATGGCTGAGGTGTTTTTTCATCTTTTATTTTGGAATTTTAATCTCTCTTGGAGATTTTAGTATCCTGATTCTATGGTTTTTTCAGGTTCTTATGGATTTCCCTCAATTGACAATGACATTGCCTGATGGTCGTGAAGAATCTGTCATGAAGCGTACAACACTTGTGGCTAACACTTCTAACATGCCTGTGGCTGCCCGTGAAGCCTCAATTTATACGGGTAAAACTATGAACTGCAAATTGTAGTAATGGTATATTGAATAGTTGCATGAAGAATAACATTTGGACCTAATAGTTATCAGTTGTTGCTTTTGGTTAATTTCTACAGTTATGTTAACAAGTTTGGTGTATCCTGTTAATTTTATTGCTTCTTTTGTATTTTGAAAAGACATGGGCTGCCAGTCACATTCTTTGGGTTTTTCTTTATTGTGGATTTGCAGGAATCACTATAGCTGAATATTTCAGAGATATGGGCTACAATGTTAGTATGATGGCAGATTCAACATCTCGTTGGGCAGAAGCATTGCGTGAAATTTCTGGACGGCTGGTAAAACATTTTGCCAAAACTTCACTAATGAAATGACCTGTTTTTTCTTTTGACATCTCATTTCCTAATGCTTGATATAATTCAGGCTTATTGACCAGGTCCTTTGAGAATGCTTTAATTTAGTCTCTCTGTTCCAATGTGCTGACAGCACATATGGTTAATAGTAAATTAATGATGTTTCACTGTAATTCGGCTAGCGCTGCTATTTTTTTTTTTCAGTTGTGCTATCTTGGTGCTCCAGCTTATAAATACTGTCAAATAAGTTTGGGGGAAAAGTAGCTTTGCATTTTTTGCGATAATTTTTCATTGGCATTTACTTTGATGAGCTGGCTTTTTGTATGTATCTATGATAAAGAGTCTTCTAGGGGTTTTGTCCTTGGCTAGCCAGTGTTTGTTTTATGAATTGGACCAAAAAGAAAAGTAGAGGGGTTGGTTCTTAAAAGATGTCAATGCTAGAATATTCAATTGGGCAACTGTTTGCATTTATGAAAGTGCTCATTGTAAATTAAGAGTAGTCAGTTCATTCTAAATATAATTCGTCATTGTTCTCAAATTATGTGCAGAGATAATAGAAACCATAAGTTTTCTGCTGATCCTTTTACCTTATGATGGCCTTGTGATTTTCCTCTTGATGTTTCTTAGCTGATGGTTTATGCTGTGTCTATATCCAAGTGCTTTTTTGTTGTTGTAAAATTTCTTTAAAAGAAACTGCAATAGTTGGCATTGTCTACCTGAAACTCTTGAGATAGCATAGACTCTCATAAAAGTTTAGAACTTTGGTGCCTGTATTTTTATAACTTAGCAGTTTATTGGATTATTGCTATTCACTTTTTTAAGTAGGTAAATGATTTTTACGTTTAATTTCACTTCATTATTGAAAATGAACGAAAATATTATTTGTTGGTTTTATGTCTGGTATACTTCTGGTATTCACTTTATTGGCTTCACAGGTTTCTTTTGAAGTTCTCACATTGGCATCTGTTTTCATTTCTTTTACAGGCAGAAATGCCTGCTGATAGTGGATATCCTGCTTATCTGGCAGCAAGATTAGCCTCTTTCTATGAACGTGCGGGTAAAGTTAAATGCCTTGGTGGGCCAGAACGTACTGGCAGTGTCACAATTGTTGGTGCTGTTTCTCCTCCTGGAGGAGATTTCTCCGATCCTGTGACATCTGCAACCCTAAGTATTGTCCAGGTATAGATCAAGGTTTTATGCATTCCCTAGGCTCCCACCATTTCCCTGAATGCACCAGGGGAGAGGAGGGTAGAGTAAGGAAATTAACCCAAAAATGATAATAGAAGCAGTTCAGTATTACTGTTATCATTATTTTAAAGGTGCCAGCTGTGTTAGTGCTGCTGCCTTTTTTAGCTGTGTATGATGGTTATAGTTATTTATTGGAACTTAGTATCTCCACCTTCCTTGTTGGTTTAAATTCTAGGTTTTCTGGGGTCTTGACAAGAAACTTGCTCAGAGGAAGCATTTCCCTTCTGTCAACTGGCTTATTTCATACTCGAAGTACTCAGGGGTATGTTCATAATCTGATCCCTCATTGTTTGTAATTATTCCAAAATATTTTTTTGTTTCTATTACTTAGCAGGCCTTTTACCAATTGATGCCAGTTTCCATATTAATTGGTTGTCTCTCTTGTTGTTCCCAGGCTTTGGAATCTTTCTATGAGAAATTTGATCAAGATTTTATCAGCATTAGGACAAAGGCACGAGAGGTGCTTCAGAGGGAAGATGATCTGAATGAAATTGTCCAGGTATGTTTTTTTATATTGGTATGGGTTTTTGATGAATTATAATCAAGCTATTTAACTGTTTAAACTTTGAAAGCATAAGAGGGCGAAGAGTGAGCTGTGAAAGCTGTGAATTAATAGGTCATTTTTGACCAAGCACTAAATCATTAGACACAGCATAATCTTGCAATCTCACTCTTGTCCCCTACTTTTGCTTTTGCTAATATGTACTTTTGTAATGTTATTTTTAGTTTATGTGCCTGTTACTGCAAATTCGTGGCACTTATTTTTATCTTGTCTCACTTCAGCATCTTTTGAATTTATATTGTTACAGCTTGTGGGAAAGGATGCTTTAGCTGAAACAGATAAGATCACTCTAGAAACTGCTAAGCTTTTAAGGGAAGATTATCTTGCTCAGAATGCATTTACTCCGTAAGCTTCAGCACTTGCTATTTGATATCAGAAAATTATCTGAGTAGCAGTAGCTATCAATATGTCATGGTCTTTGTCTTTATGTGGTAATCCTTCTGTGCGCATGTTGTTGGGTCTGTTGCGACAGATATGACAAGTTCTGCCCCTTTTACAAGTCTGTTTGGATGATGCGCAACATTATTCATTTCAATACTTTGGCCAACCAGGTAATTCATCCCGTGCTTTCTGCTACTCTTTTAATGGCTGATCAATTCTACCATATTTTCCAATAAATTCTATTATGGCTATTTTTAGCTATTTGGAAAAGTAGGGGGAAAGAAAATGGCAACTATTTTAAGTGGGTTATTACTATTCTTCGTTGCTTAAAGAAAAGTGGAGGATGAAAATTAGTAATTTAAATTCTAAAATAGTTATGGGGTAAGACTCAGGTGCAGGTGTAATGCTTCATTTTATTGCTGACAAGATTAAGTATAATTGCAGGTCCTAGAAAAAAGAGATCTATTTATGAACCTTGCTTCCAGGTTTTTACCCTTTTTTTTGTTCTGGGCTTTTAGATAAGTAGGTCAAGCAAATGTTTCTTTGACTGATATATGTCCGAGTCACCTTGCTTCTAGATTTGTATATTTTAACGGGTTTGGTGTCTACTCAACGTCAGTGCTGTTCTTTCTATTCTTTATGTTATATTTTGAGGTATACTGTACTTTGTTATGTCGACCAATTGGAGGGGTGTGGGTGAAATTAGTAATGCAATTTGTGTGCAGGCAGTAGAGAAAGCAGCTGGGATGGATGGTCAGAAGATAACTTACAGTCTTATCAAGCATCGTCTGGGGGATCTCTTTTATCGATTAGTGTAAGTTTAGAACTTTGCTGGTAATGGACCGAAGAAAACAAAAAGATTAAAGGGAAAAAATGACTAAAAATGTTTTAGTGTATTAGGATGCAGTGCTTAAATTGTAAAATTTCTTGACATCACAGGTCACAAAAATTTGAAGACCCAGCAGAAGGAGAAGAAGCTCTTGTGGCAAAATTCAAAAAGCTTTATGAGGATCTGACAGCTGGTTTCCGTGCATTGGAGGATGAGACTAGGTGAATGTAAGTTTTTTCAAGATTCGATATTTCCTGGTCCTAGTCCAAGTTTCGGTAGTTGGGGGTAAAATCACTAGGGCTCTCTCTGTTTGGTTGTATGAAAATTCGGTCTTGGTAGACGCATGTGTTGTGCTGCGTTGTAGCTTTTGTTGGCCTGAAGTCTTTAGAGTGCTATAGCCATGAATTCATTATGTATTATTGTCTGCCCTAACCTTTTCAGCGGCAGGAGAACCATATTTATGTATTTATGCAATAAGATGTGTATTTTTCCTATGTTTTAGGCTGGGAAAATGAGACTAATAAGATGTGTATTCAGTAGGATGCGCTTATTGCCTTTTAGCATCACATTTTGTCTTCGCTGAGCTGCCAATTGGGGCTTCTGCTTTTGCTATTGATATGTGATTTACATGCCAGTTTTTTCCTTTTTCTTTTATTTTTTTTGGTATAATATATATATTTCTGATCCTCTAGGTTTTCTTCATTTCTTTAGAAGCTTTTGCGTTTTTCTATTATCTTTAGCAGCTTTTATATTTGGTAAGAAAGTAGAAAGAGAACGTGTAAGATTTGGATTTGAGTAAATTACCCCGCCGTCGGGGTGGTTTGGTTGGTATTTTCCGATCACTTTACGGACAAAATTGAAAATTTAAAAACAAGGACAAGAAATGCATAAAAATAACCATTCTATTTCATTTCACTAGCTCTAATTGTAAAGGATAGTTTTGGATATTTATTTAAATAACAGTTTAAATTTCAATTTTGATATTTTTGTCTTTATTTCTTTTAAAAAAGAAAAGGAAAAGGCGAGAAAAATAAGGGTAAGAAAACAGATGAGGGAAAAGGAAAAGTAAAGAAATCAGGAAAAAAAAAGGAGGAGCTTTTTCCTTCTTAATCCTTGGTGAAAGAGGTTGAATATAGCAGGAAAATAAGACCAGAGGTAGACGCATAATGGTTTAGCTTTGTCTTCAAAGAGGGAATGTAAATATACAGATTCATCATTTTCCCCCTTCAAAATGGAGGAAAATAGTTTTGCCTCCACCGCTGCGTTCCATTGTGTTTCCTTATTACCAAACAGCCCATTGTAAGTTGGGTTTTTCAGTTATTGTTGGATCATCTTATAAGCAACAATCTTTGATTGGCATCAACAGTTGACATTAGAAAAAACATTCAGAGCGCCTAGGAATGTTTTGTAGATTACATTGTGCTCTTGAAGCTACAAAAGAATATGAATGTGGACGCAGGCAGAGAATCTCCACTGATTTCAATATACTTGTTACCCTTTTATAATACACCTTCATTCATCTTGTTGTTCATTCTTGTTACCATTTTCTTGCTTCGTATCCCCTTCGCTAATCTTTTCGTCTAGGAATTTTACTAAGCCATGAAAGGCGGCATCTCCTTTGGAGTTCTTCATCTACTCCCCAGCAACCTCTGCAGGAGTGACATCCACCTCCTCCAAGAGCTTCTCGATCTGTTGGAAAAATTGGTGATCGCAAATCCCCAAATAGTTAAAGGCGAGTTGCTTAAACACAGAAGCGTTGCAGTATGACATGTGAATGTGCATGTCCATACGACCAGGTCTCAGCAAAGCTGGGTTTAATCGTTCTTTGTGATTGGTTTTAAAAATAATGATGCGTTCCTCACCACAGCATGACCAAAGGCCATCAATGAAATTCAGAAGTCCTGACAGTGTCACCTCATCGTCACCTCCTTTGAATCTCCGTCTCCGAGGTTCATTCTCAGATTCTCGATTTTCTAGCTTGATAGAGCAATCAATATCCTCAACCACTAGTATGGATCGGCTAGGCATGGCAAGCAATAAAAATCGAAGATCGGAGTTGGTTTGGACAGCAGTCAGGTCCAAGTCGTAGATGTTGTATTTCAGGTGATTAGCCATTGCAGCTATCAAGCTTGACTTGCCTGTCCCTGGAGGACCATCCAGCAAGTACCCACGTTTCCAAGCTTTCCCAACCCTTTTGTAGTATTGTTCCCAATTGATAAACTTTTCCAGATCCTCCATCACTGCCATTTTCAGCTCCGAATCCATAGCGAGTGTCTTGAATGTCATTGGGTGCTTAAGTTTGGTCTCATTCTCATCCCACCTTCCATAACAAACCGTGTGGATATTTATTGCTTTATTCTCTTCTCTCATCATCTTTGCTCTTTGCAAAATGTATGGCAAGTACGAATTCAGCACTATATCTTTGTTTTTCTTGTGAAAACTTAGCTCGTAGTGTCTAACTTGTGACCGCAGAGATCCATTGAGATCACCCTGGTTTGGGTCCCGAAAGGGTACTGATTCAACTCTCGTACAAACCAATTTCCACGTCATCTCCACATTTTCATAAACATCAACCAGTACTTCATCTTTATCCATGGATAGAGCTAACTTAGTTTTCAACAGTTTCATATTAACCAATCCTCATTATGTGAGCCACCCTATCTTCCTCCCGTTCAGCACCAGTTAGTAGAGCAATACCCAAGCAGTAGGAAAGTAACCAACTTCATCACCATTATGAAATCTCAATCTAAGCTGTAACTTGTTATCCGAAACCTTTTGCGAAGAAAGAGCTCAGCCGAAACATCCAAGAAAGTGAGCATGATGCAGGTTTGTGATGGAGATATTAGGAGGCAAGGGTCAGCATTAATCCCTTTGATTTGGTTTTTCATTTTTCATGTTAATCAGTTATGAAGAGTAATTTATTTAGCTATTTTTATTGGTTTTTTAATCCAAAATTCATTACTAAACCAATCGAAAAATCAATAATTAACAATATTTAAACCTCCTCAATCTTTAGAATATTTTTCTTGAAATTCAAACAAGAATGATTAGTGTAGATCAAAAGATCCATCGGATAACTGCAACCAATCCAGCTTGTGGACTCTTTTAAGTTCTCTCTCTTTAGTTGTTTCTCTCCTTTTCGATAATAATTAAGTACTGTTGACAACCAGAGATCAATGATATGAGTTATATGCTATGTAATTGCTATTCCAATGAACCTTTTGCACTAGAAATTTCATGAAACTTTATGAAATTAATTACCCATCACAATATTATTGCCGAATTAATATTGTAACTAGATTCATCATGTCAAGTTACTATAACATGACATAGTTTCATAAAAGTCAGGCCTTAACTAGCAGTATAGATCCTCAAATCTGCTATCTAGTCACTTCTTACTTTACACATTCCCTCGTATGGGAAAAAAATTCTTCATATTCATGCCAGTAATAAGTATTGATCAACAGCAGTTATTGAAAATATTAATGGAAAGAGAAAGCTATGTTCATTTTTTCATTTTAAAGAATTTAGTGCATCAGTTCATCCTATGACGTGGAACAGAGAAACTGGTCAGTCAAGACAGGTACAGAGAAGGAAGCACTCATCAAACATATAGCCACTATAAAGGATGTTTCTCAATAAGTTGTGACAATGCTCGAATATAGCAGAGCTACAAATTAAATGCATAATCTGCGATACACCATCAGCAAACTCCATAAAACAAAGCAGTTACTCTGTTGTTCAAAGCAATTTTAACTTTGGTACGTAACACCCACAAGTCCCAACGGGAAACACTGGGGTGATCTCCTTGATGTAGCCGGAATTAACCAGGGCCAACTTTAGGAATGTCATAATGCTCACTCATGTTTGCCAGATACTGGTTGAAGTCTTGAATTCTGTCACGGTGAGATTTGTTAGCTTCCTTGGCCAACCTGTGCACATCAAGTTGCTCCCTCTGCTCAATGTATCTTCTCTCTGCCGGTGTGAGATGATCATCATAGTGAGGAGCCTTCCCCTCCCCACTTGACTTGTCAGCATCATTGATATCTTCCTCAGTGGGATCAACAGATACTTCTGCGCTTCCAACTGCATCAGGCACCGCTCAAACTCATGAGGTCTATGACACAATTATGATGCACTAAATAACGGGCAGACTGAAGCCGGTTGAACCAAATATTGAACAGTGTATAACAAGACAGAAGCAGGTTGAGTCAAATAATCCTAAACCAGTTAAGCAAAAGGACCCAAAAACAAAGGGATGCAGCCACACAGATTTGGGACTCAGTTAATGTAAAGTACAAAGCAATTTAGCCAATCTCTCCATCGCCATTTATGGTCGTAGAAGTAGTAGCCCAGAACTAAAGCTCAAACACAAAGAATTTTCGACAAGTGGGCTTTTCCTTCATCATTTCAATAAAGAGAGTGCAACATAAATTGAAGTAAACAAAAGAAAAACTTGTTATACAATTAGAAATCACCACATGAAACCCACAAAAAAAAAAGAAAAAAATCCATCAAATAAAATTAAAGTAAATATTAGTAATTAAATCTGGAAAATTGAAAAATAAGGGTTTCCAAGAATAAGAAAAGTAGAAAACCAACCAGCAGAGAGGTCATTCTGGGTAGCTTCAGTAATTTGATCTTGATGCTTCCTATGTTTCTTTTTCTTCTTGATTCCACCAGCCTTAACATCTAAAGCTTTTCCCTTGAGCTTCAGCTTCCCACCCATTATATTGTCGTATGCCGACATTTTTCCCCCTGAAAAGACTAAAAAAAAATCAAAGAACAACTTTACAGGCTTAAACGAAACCCTAAAGTTATCCCAAAATCAAAATCAACTTGCCTTCCTCAGTGGGTTATGAGTTCTGATCTGAAAGAAGAACCTTTAGGATGATTTGAAACTTAGTTCGAAGGTTTTATATAGAAAAAAAAAAACAGAGAAAATATCTCCAATGTTTCAGGAGACGAGAGAGGGAAAAGATGAACAGGATTTTGATTTTGTTCCCAGTACCAAATTCATTTGGGGATTTTGATTTTGCTCTCTTTTGGGCTGACAAATCAGCCCATTTAATGAAATAAATTTTAAATTAAATTTGAATTTTTTTTCATATAAATTTTTATTAAAATAGTTTTTAAAATTAAAATTTAAGATTATTTCTTTTTCCAAGATCAAATTCATGAGTAGGTCTAATTTGAGTTGGATAGCACGAAATATATAATTATTTTTTTATTTTGTGAAATAAAAGTTTTAAAAGAATTTACTTAAGCATTGGATAGCAAAAATCTCAACGGGAAGCAATTTTTTTAAAAAATATTAATGAACTATCAATAAACAATTCAATAGGAAAATAATTTTGTCTAAAATTCTTTTTTTTTACTAAAAACAGTTAAAATTAAAAAAAAGTTATTTTTGAAAATACTTTATCTTGGAGGGCCAAAAGAAATCATCCCAACAAAAAATATTAGTAATTAGTACATAAATATAGATTTTAAAAATTCAACAAAAAACATTAGAAATTATTATAAAGATAACGAAACAAGTAGTTAATTATTATTGTTACTAATTTAACAAAAAAAGTTTATTAAAAATCTAGCATTTAATAAGTATATTAATTGTTTAAAACCTAATTTTACATACATACATACATATATATACACACACATACACATATATATATACATATATAATAAATAAATTCAACAAAGTATCTAAATTGAGTTATACTATATATAATTTTCATTTTAGAATGGTCATTTAAGCTACATGATAAAAGATAAAATCTTTCTCTATCTCTTATCCACCTTATTCAAATCTTAAATCTGAAACCTTTCTTTTTCCAAAAATATAAAATACCTATTTATATGTGCATTAAACATAGAACATATTAATTAGCTCATCCCCTTTTGCCATGACTTTTGAGGTATCCTATGATTCATTGTAAGCAGCATTTACCATACCAATGCTGAAGCAGACAGCATGTTTCCTAGCTTATGGCCAAGAGGAGAAAGCTAGACACCTTATACATGATGCAAAGCAAAGCAAAACTTACAATCACCCAAGGTTGTCTACAAGGAGTTTGGATATCCAAGGGATATAATGTTACATAGCATTTTCCAGACCTATTTCATCATTTACTAATGTGAGGTACGTAACATTTTACTACACCCAATTGTGCAACGTCATCATTGCATTGATTTTTTCAATCTTAAAGAAGAGAGACCCGTCTTAGTTTGGGTCTACCTCGACTTTAATATCTCATGAGAGGCTTATATCAATAGAGAATTGGATAGATTTTGATACTACCTGTCACATATTAACATTTTCAACCTAAAAAACATATTTGTTATGTGGAGAAAGTCTGTTACTTATAAGCCCAAGACACATCCTATTTTTTACTAATGTGGGTTTTAGGGAGCACGGTGAACACGTTTAAGACATGTTTAAACCTATTTAATTAATTGTGTTAATCGTGTTATTAAGTTTAACTCATTTAAGTTTACTAGTAAAAGACCATTTTTTATGATAATGGATTTTATGGATATTATTTATATTAGACTTTTATTGTATTTGATGATATTACTATCTTATTATAATTGTTTTCATGATTATTGATTTTGAATATGAATAATAAACTTATTGTGTTATACTATTATTAAACATATTCGTATACTATTTTCAAATCCTGACATGGTTAGTTAATCGAGTTGTGTTCGTGTTTACTTGTATAAACGTTCATACCCTATGTTTATATAGCACTGTTAAGTTACGAAAACATGAATTACCAAGTCTATTAATTACTAAAATTTTTACTTGAATTATTACTATTTCCTATATTATAGGTAAAATGGATTTGAAAATTAAAAACTTTACAGGAATTACTAAAGTCTCTAATCCAACATGAATTTGTGCTTTTAATATGTATGTGTGAAGTCAAGTTTCTACATAATAAACGTAACTATTAGATTCTAGCTATTTTAATAAATTAGTATTAACACGTAAAGTCATGTTTGTCTACAATAAATGCTAGTATTGATAATTTTATTTTCTTAAATAAAATTAGTGTTAAATTTGATTTTTTTAATAAATAGCTCATTAATTTTTTTTAATTTTCATAAATAATAAGGAAAAGAAAGGAAAAGTCATAAAACATTATCAATTAATTTCAATCTTTTCTTTTCCATTAATTATTGAGTTTAAAATAAAATTCCAAAAAAAATATAAATTGATTTCACTTGAAATTTTTTTATATTATTCTAATCACTTAATCTAATTAAAATTGCAGAAAAAGGAAAATCATAAGAGATTGTCATAAATTTCATTTTTTTTCATTTTCTATTAGTTAACGACTTGTGTAGAGGGTTCTTTTAGTTAAGGAGAGGGCGTGTTGCAATGAGTGAATCAAGATGCGCTAGAAGCAGCAGAGATGAAGACTGGAGCAGTCCTTGAAGCATAAGTGCTTTGAGTGGCAAGAGATGAGAAAGGGTTGACTGAGTGGCGGATAATGGCGAATGAGAAAAAATTGAATGGAAAGACTTTGTGGAGGAGTCTTGAGAGAGCTTTTTAATATTATCTCTGTTGGGTTTCTAATCTTTTTCCTCCCAACTTTCAAGGCTCTCACATTTATACTTAATAGGAACACTTTCTTAGGAGTTGTTAGGAGAGCACGTTCAATCATGGGAGAATGTGCTTATTATGAAAGAACAGTTAAGAACGGTTTACGAGATATTAAAAGAATGATCATATAGTTGGGTAGTGGATGTAAGTTTTTGGTAAATGGAATAGTAGCCTTTAATAGTGCATCACGTATATTTTTAAGAAGTAAAGAAAGAAAAAGGGGTAAAGCACATGTACTTCAAGGAAAGGTTAAGATGAAGTCCTCTTAACTATCTCCATATCTGAGCCACCAAGTCAAACTCTCTAGAGCATCCCAAATATGAAGGTAATTCATAAACCCTGCCACTTGTCTTAAGTTACTTTCACTTCTCCTACATAGAGCCATTGCACATAGAGTGTTTCTATGCTTGTAACGCTCTTTGGGTGCTTCTACGCTTAGAACACTTTTGGGTGTTTCTGTACTTGGAACACCTTGGGCACTTTTGTGCTTGGAACTCCCTTGGGCTCTTTTACGCTTGAAATGCCTATAAGTGCTTCTGTACTTGGAACACTCTGGACGCTTCTGCGCTTGAAATACCCCTGGACGCTTTTGTATTTGGAACACCTTTGGCGCTTCTGCGCTTCAAATGCCCCTGGGTGCTTCCGTACTTGGAACACCCTGTGCGCTTCTGCGCTTGGAACATCCCTAGGCGCTTCTATACTTGGAACACCTTGGGAGCTTCTGTACTTGGAACGCCCCTAGGTGCTTCTGTACTAGGAACACCCTTGGGCGCTTCTATGATTAAAACACCCCTGAGCACTTCTACGCTTTGAATACTCCTGGCTTGGAACACCTCAAGGAACGCTTGGAACATTCTTGATGTAATTATTTTATAAAACCAAAATTGGGCATCTACAACTTAAAAATAAACTCTTGAAATGAAATTCATTTCTTTCATATTCACTAATTAACGATTTAAAAAAAACATTGGAAAAGAAAAAAGAAAATTCCACTTGCATCATTTTTTAAAAATAAAACTATTAGTTAATAGCGCATTAATTTCTTTTTGTCTTTCATATTCCAATGTAATTAGGTTTTGTACTTTTACATTAGCATTCTTTTAAAAGACTTGAGAAATATTAGCATTATATGACAATAAAATATATTCTAACTTTCGTAATCTTTACCCTATGAATTACTTAATTAAAATTATAAATATACCAGATTACTTTAATTTTAAATTTTTAGGATGTTACACTTGTTTGTGATGGGGCATTTATTTGACTTTTAGTTTTTATTTTTCTTCTTTTCTAGTTCTAAACGCGTCATTTATTGGTTTTTTTTTAAGCGTGTGTTTGGTTCATAAGAAGGAATAAAGTAGGAATAGAACAACCATTCGGTAAGAATACAATAAAAGATGAATAACTATTATGTAGTTTGGTTCATAAAAATAAAATAGAATATGAATTGCTATTATAAATTATTCTAATGTTTAGTAGGCAAGAATAGTTAGGCATAACTAAGGAATAAGGGGTAAATGACAAAAATACCATAAATTAAAATATTTTATAATTAAAATGTAATTTTATTATTGTTCTATTTTATTCTTTATTTTTAAAATATTAAAATATAAAAAATTTATAATTAAAATTTTAATTTGATTTTTAAGTTTAAAATATTAACTTTTTATAATTTATAATTAAAACTTAAACCTTTTTATTTTAATTTCATTTTAATTTTTTCTTTTTTATTTTTAAATTTTAAGTTCATTTTAATTTAGTGAGAGAATGAGAAAGCTAATTGGGTAGAGAGAGAATGAAATTGTAAAAAATAAATAAATTATATTTGATATAGTATAATAAATTTCAAATTAATGAAGGACATTTTTGTTCATTAATGTTTTACTCTATTCTTTGTCTCTAGGAATTGCCAATACCAAGAGGAGTCTTGGTTTTGGTTATTCCCTCATCTCACTAAATAGCCATTCCTTCCAATCAAATAAAATAAGAGTGGAACGGCTCGCTATTCCATTCTCCCGACCAAATTTAATGATAAAATTGAAAAAAGTAGACTAGACAATTTGTCTCTTTATATCTTAATCATAGTGTAAATATAAATTATTAACAATTATATGAGCAAGTACAAACACCACAATTAATTAATTGTATCGATATGTTAAATATGTATATGAATACGTTTAATAAACATGTAAAACGACACAATTTGATTAATATGTATATGAATACGTTTAATAAACATGTAAAACGACACAATTTGATTAACACATTTACTAAGTATGATTGGTAAAATTTTATATAATATGACTTGATTAACATGATTAAAATTTATACAATTTTTAACTTATTTACATTATTGATACAATTAACACATAATTAAAAAGATTAAATTAAAATATCCACAATTAAAAAATAATTATATTATTCAAATTTACAATAAAAAATTATAAATATCATAATATTTATCCAATACAATTAAATTCAATATCATAATCATAATAAAAATATTGATAATTATATAAATCAATAAATGAATCTTAATAATACGCTAAACATATCTACATGACATGTGAATTGACTGAATAATCGTGTTACAATTTATATAAATACACAATAACATAATTAATTAATAATCTTAAGATGGATTTGAACATATTAAGTGAATTTGGCACTAATACACAAAACACAATTAACCCAAACCCAAACTCATTTAAATCAGTGTCATGCTCATGTCGTATAAAAATTGTCAAATCCACAAAAAAAAAAAAGAGAATTAGTATTAAATAAAATAAAATACAATAAAGT